CCGGGCTTCCTGGAATCAGCCGCTGGTCAGTTTCAGCAGCGGCTGACTTGGAGACACCTGGGGTAGAGCAGCTGGGGTGCTGCCGGGGTGGTCCCCGCAGTGCCGAGGTGCGGCGCTGTGGGGACCTACCTGGCAGCACCCCAGCTGCTCTGTCCCAGCGTGTCTTATTCAGCCGCTGCTGGTCAGTTTCAACAGCGGCTGAATCTGGACACCAGTTCCGACACATACAAAATCAACTTAAGAACAAACCTACAGTCTCTATCTTGTACGTAACCCGGGGACTGCCTGTATATGTGGAGATGTCAAAATATGGCCCAATACAACTCATCTCCATTGGGTTCTTTCTCTATTACTGTAAAAGCCAGCTGTATTTCTAAATGAACACATGGAGCCATTTCAGTCTTAACATAGAAGCAGAACAAACCCACTGAGAAAATACAGATTTTGAAGCTAAGATCTTTTTCCAACTCACCCACAACAAAAATGGTGATTTGGATTTGCATACATCTCTTGTGTACTTTCCAAGTAGAATGTTAATGCTCTTGTGGGATCTAATGCCACACAAGGTTAGGGTAAAACCTTGCCACAAAATATTTCTTGCTCAAAACAAAATTCAGAAGCAACTTGCAAAGAAAACCATTTCAGGGAGACCCTACTGTCTTGTTAATTTCCCTTAGCTAACTCAGTGAAACCTCTCGAAAACATTTGGATTTGATTGAACAAAATCAACAGACTTCTGGCTATATTGCCAGGTGGCACAGATTGTTCAGATTCTTCTTGTGCAGTTCATGAGGGCACCAATAATTGTATAGTCTCTTACTTATTCAAGTACAAAACCTCTGCAACATGGACAAAATATGAGAAATGCTTATCCAGCCACCTGATCTTCAAAATCCAAGAGGACTAATTCTACTACTGTCAACATTTTTGTGGCACATCTATGTGCTCAATCATACATCTTTCAGGATCCACTACCTTAATTCAAGTGCTCCTCATTGCAGACACTGTTAAGTACAATCTCCAATTCAGTTCTCAAATTTGGTCACTCAAGCTTGTTTGACTGTTAAAAAATGACCATGAGTAGATCACAGCTTAATGCAGGACTTGGAGACACAGAAATAAAATGCTAGAGGGTCACAAGAGAACTCTTGGCATGAAAAATCTGCTATTGTCAAATGGCCATAACTAAAGGAAATGTGGGCCCACAGGGGCAGGGAATTTGAGGGCCGAGTGGATCTTATTGACTTGCTCCCAGTAAGGTAGAACCATTACCATATAGATATCAAATGCTTTTGGTGTAAGATTTATTGTGGAGTACCAAAAATATATTTTTTTTCAAAATAGTAATATTCTCATGGGCCAGACTATGCCAAGCACAGATAATACAGAATGATGAGTCTTCAAAAGTGCTTATGAAAGAAAGGTATTTGAACAGTACAAGAACACTCCCACATTTCCTTCTTCTGGAAGCCTAGCCTCAAAAACTGGATTATGGAGGCCAGGGTGGGGTTCTGTTCATATAGTACTTCACAGTCGCCCTCCTCTCCCTCCTGCTCCTTGCTACCTCTCTGAAAGAGAGGTAACAAGGGAGGGTGGGTAATGCTGTGGGCAGCTGTCTTAAAAGCTGTTCCCCCTCAGTACCGTCTCCGCAGGGGGCAGGGGAGGTAAAGGCAGAGCACGGAAATGGTGAGAGTGGGGACTGAAGCAGTCTCTGTTCATGCTCGTTCCCACTGTGGTGCTTCAGCTTTTGAAATGCAGCAAGAGCCTCACCTCTGAGAGGCAGCAAGGGCGGAGGGACAGGAATTGGTGCTGGGGGTGGGGTCAGCTTAAAAGCCAGTTCCCCTCAGCACTGTCTCTGGGTTAGTGCCTGACCCCTCCCTCCTGCTGCCTCTGGTCCAGGATGCTGCACCTCTGCATTTTTAATGTTGCAAGAGCTGCCGGGCTCTTACTACATTTAAAATGCAGAGACACAGCACAGGTGCTCCTGGAGCTGGAGTGAGCCAGGACTGCTCAGACCCAGCTCTAGCCGGCACCTAGAGCTACTCCTGATGTGGCTCTTCAGAGGAGTCCTATCAACTATACAATTATAACTAGGTCCCCACAATTTAACATCCTTAGTGTGAACCCCTGCACTGGTACACTGACCAAGCCAAAATTAGTCCCAAATCCTAGTTGAGCATCTGAAATGTTTAACTAAGCGAAAGACAGACTATCAAAATCCTGCTGCATCTCTTAATTAAAAAGAGATACAAATAAAAATAGGGTATGCTTTCTGTAATTACCTCCTCATTCTCCTAATCTGGGTGAAGCCTCTGAGTGATAATAGCTAGAAAAGAAGACATTTTTAAGCTGATTGCTATTGACAATACATTCATAACAGTACAGAAGGAAGAAAGTAGATAAGAAAATTACAGTACCTTGCAAAGCCAACCCCCCGACTTGTACCACTGGAATCACGAAGTATCCTTGTAGAGATAACTTGCCCAAAAGGCTTGAGCATATTCTCAAGCTCCTGCTCATCCATTGACAGTGGCAAATTGGAAATATATAAGTTAGTTGGATCTTGCTCTTGTTGCTGAAACAGAAATGAAAACTGTCATTTTGTTTTCAAAACCAATAGAGTTGAAAGATGTCTTAAGCATAAATGATGCCAATTGTTGTATTATTTTTATCATTCTCAGATCCCTCTACAGATCCCAAGTCCTTCTTTCCCCACATCACCCACTTTAAACAATTGTCTCAGTGTTATGAGATTCAAGCAAGAAAAAACTGCTTAAAGTTTTCGTTGACCTTAACCATTCAGAAAAAAAGTGAAGGTGAGACTGAGCAAATGATCAGTCTTAACCTATACCTTTATGTTAAGATTTTTGAAAAGGAGAGAGATATTCAAAAGGAGCAAATCAGGGAAAAATCAGGATTGAAGCTGGGAGAGAAGGACAAAAATCAGACTGATAGAATGGCACCCTAAACATAAAGGAGGAAAAGAGATAAGACATGCAACAGGAAAGGAAGAGAAAACTGGAGTGATGAGATAAAAGGGATGGAAAAGATGAAGAATACAGTACATTGCTGTCCCCTCCCTCAACTACACTAGCAAAATGTTTCCAATAAAAATTGGCAATTGTCTAATACAGATAAAGTTGGCTTGGAAATGGTTATCCTAACCCATGAAAATTCTCTCATTCCTCATTGGGACAAAAAAAGAAACACTCAGATACAGACACACGGTTAAATAGAACAGAAGAAAAATAGTTAATAATAATTCAACTGATAAGACATGCACCAAGGATCTAGAAGATCTGATTCACTCCAGAAGAGACTTATACTTGGGTCTCTGTCAACCCAGATGAGAGCTTTGCCCACCAGACTATTATCTGTTCCAGATGTGTGCGCTCTCAACTGGTTTTGACCAAAATTTCCTTCCTGGACCCGAGAAACATTTTTGTCAAGATAAATACATTTCACGAAAGGGTTTTAGTTTTGTTGAAAAACTCTTGACAAGGTCTAGATTTGTGCGTGCACACAACTATTTGGGTGAGCTATACAAATCTACTCTAAGTCCCAAGAATTAATCCAAATCATGTGTCCAGCTCTCTCTCTCTCTCTCTCTCTCTCTCTGTGTGTGTGTGTGTGTGTGTGTGTGTGTGTGTATATATAAAGTTTTTCCTGCAGGATGACACTGTATCCCCCACAGAGTCTGCCCTCCCATGGTCTCCCTGCCTCAGACACAGTTCAGGGACCAGCAAAGGCGCGTGGCAGCCCAGCCTAGGAAGATTCCACGTTCTGGAATGTTGCAGCCAGAGCCGAATGGGCAGGACCCTTCTGAGGTAGAATTTGCCAGGCTGGGCTGCCAGGTGGCTTTGCCAATCTCCTAAGTGTGACTAGGGCAGAGAGCGATTCCATCCAGATCAGCCTGCTGCAGGGAATGGGCCTGCGGCAGTGCCACCGCGATTGCTGGGAGCTGCCCCAGTGGAAACCACAGCTGCAGTCCAGCAACCCCTGACACATTACAAAGAGGAGATCCAGCAGCGTTTGCAGCAGCGGCCAACCCGCTGAGTGGGGGTGGTCTAGTCGGAGGGGGGAGCACCTGCCTCTGCATGGACGCGCCTGTAGAGCCCCCCTGCCCTCTTTCCATCCTCCATGTGTGTCCTCACCCCCTCTCCTGCCCCCTCACAGACTCCCATCCCCCCTTCTCAACCTGGCACCCAAAGGAACCCTCGCTCTCTGACCCTCCCTCCAGCCTCTTTCTCTGCCTCCTTTCCATTTCCTCTGCCCACAGATATCCCACTTCACAGCACCCCAGCAATGCTACCTTTCCTGCCTCTTCCCTCTAGGCAGCTGCCCAGATCCTGCTGTCACAGCATCCAGAGCATTCTCCCTCTCCCCCGAATACGGGCCTGCTGCCATTTCTTTGCTGGTCAGGTCGCCTGTTTGTAGGAGGGGGCAGGCTGCACATAGGGAGGGAGAAGAGGGGATAGTGGTGTATGTGCAGATGGGCAGTGTGGTGTGGGGGTGAGGAGGGTCTAGCATTGGAGGCAGGGGGATGGGCAATGTGGTGGTGCAGAGAAGGAGGGTTTAGGGAAGAATGGGGTGTAGGAGAAGGAGGTAGGAGTGGGGATAGGCAGTGTGGGGTAGGGGGATGAGTGGATGTAAAAATGGAGACGGGAATGGGAATGTAGGAATGGATGACAGAGGTGAGGTTAGGGATGGAAGGAGGGACCCCTCCAGGGGTGTGGTGGGTGCGAGTGGAGAAGGGTGTGAGTTACTTAGGGCCATGGAGAGTGCAGCTGGGCTCAGTGCAAGATTAACAGTGCCTCTAACCGTGAAAGCTGCCACGGGGGGAGGGAGGGGGTTGGCGAGCATAGCGAGGAGGGGACACAACCCCCTAGTTACCTGTAATATCAAAATATATTGTTAATATATTGTTAATTGTTATTGTAAATATTGCTTCCTACTCCAATTCACCAGAACCTTGGCTGGAGGAGCTTCAGGACATACTGAAAGGTGCACCTAGGCCTTTACAGAAGATAGGGAGGGATGAGTAGAGTGTGATTTATTTTATGTAGAGGCCTGTGATAGAAGCCTTTTAATATTACTAAATATTATTGTGCAATACCCAAAGATGTACTTCACAAATAAGAGGAACCTAGTCCCTGCCCCAAAGAGTTTACAATCTAAACATAATGTAAAAGAAATAGTGAGAACAAATAACAAATGGGGAAAAACGGAGGTCATAGGACAGTGGCACAAAATCACAGTTACTCAGGTTGATTGTGCATATCTGGTAGTCTAATTAGATCCATTATACTTAATTTTATATGTACTTTTAATTGTCCAATTTCTCTTTGAGAAAGGACACAAAGGGAGAAAAAAAATCCTCGCTTGGCAATTGCTCTAAACTTTATTACTGACCAAATCCTTCTATGATTACTTTGATTTCTTGACGATAAACCCTCTTAAATTTTGGCCCATTATCCCTCACAATCTAACCACAGGATTATGCCTCTGTAATGCATGCTTTTTGTCACCTCCCATCGGAAAGATAGCACTGAAATATTTGTGGGCATGAATCCAACAACCCTTAGGGAGTTTTCTACCATACAGTAAAGCTCATCTGTGCAGGAAACAAAGCGTTCCTGGGGCTGATCTAATTTCCAAAAGAGCGAAGGACTATCATAAACCTCGCCATCTTCTGTTCCACGTACAAAGCATATTTCTTCACCCTTCCTTCTCCAATATAAACTCATACCAGCATGTACATTTAAAAAAATAATAATAATAAAAGGCAAAATGAAAAAAAAAAAGAAAGAACCCCCAACCTAAAATTTTACAAAACAAAATCACTGCATATAACACACAGTTCTCGCCCCAAGGACAAGATCTGGTCTAGATCTATACTACATACTGTTGCCAGCAAAGCTATATCAGTCAGGGGTTTGGGGAGGCAGCACAGCTGTATCAGTCAGGGATTGCATCATATCCCTAATGTACACACAACTATATAGGCAAAATTGCACTTTTACTAGTACAGGCAGTCCCCGGGTTACATGGATCCGACTTACATCGGATCCCTACTTACAAACGGGATGAGGAAACCCCGCACTGGCTGCTTCCCCCCAGCAGACCAGGGAGACGCGGAGCGGCTTTTCTCAGCAGACACCTCAGCTTGAGAATAAAGGACTGAGGGAAGTGAGGTGTGGGAGAATAAAACTGAACTCTGGAGAAATGTTTGGCTAGAGTTTCCCCTACAATATGTACCAGTTCCGACTTACATACAAATTCAACTTAAGAACAAACCTACAGTCCCTATCTTGTACGTAACCCAGGGACTGCCTGTACTGCTTGTTCTGCTCTTTGGGGGTGATCTTATTTTACTAGTAAAACTAGAAAGTACAACTTTGCCAACATTAGGGACTCTTTACCAGTATAGTATGTCAGTATTCCTATACCTCTGAAACATTCCTAGTACACATGGGGAGGATGAGAAAGAAAATGAACTCCATGTGACAAGATGTTAATCACTTTGCTTAATGTAATTCTGAAGGTGCTCAGACACTACAACGATGAAAGTGATTTAACAACGTATAGAGAATGACACAAAAGCCGCCCACTATGTTAAAAGAACATTAATAAGATTGCAAAATTAACCTCTAAAAAGTTAGAAAATGCCATAATTAGGCCTGACTGGGTAACCTTTTTTCAGACACCTTGTGCTTTTAAATTAAGATACAGTCCATCTTTACATGATAATGTACTATTTTTTCCATACGATCAGTGTCCTAGTCAATGAATGGAATGGATAATGCTCACTTAAAAAAAAGCAATTATTCAATATTTTGTTTTATTCTCCTTGTTCAATGTGTGGCCCGACAACTTACTTACTGCCCACTATTCAAACCCTAGTCAGATGTTGGAATTATTAATTTCCTCATGAGTCTTTCTATGATACTCGTCTCCTATATACTTTAGTCAAATATTAATTAATTTGTTTTCAAAAACCACTCCTGCGAGTCAAAGAAGTAGTAGTATCCCCATTTTTCAAATAAAAATAAGACGCAGAGATTAAGGTAAAAATATTTGGCAATTTTAGGTTCCCAATATGAGATTCCTAGAACCTCATTTTTTCAGGGTACTTAGCATTATTGATCACTTCAGTAATGGAACTGGTGCATGCTCAGTGCAGACTGAATCCTCAGGAAATTTAATGGCTAGAAATTAAGAATCTTTTTTTGAGCATGTGTGAATTGAACTATGATTTATCAATGGGATCAAAAAATTGCACATTCTTGACAAAATGAATGCCAAATACCTGCTCCAAAGCATAGGTATGCTAGAGCTTTTCAAATAAAAAGGCACAAACATTTTTTAACATAGGCTACATCAGTGTTTCTCAACCAGTGGTACGAGTTCCCTTAGGAGTACTCGAGAGAAGTCTGTGTGGTACGTCAACACAACTCAAAAGTGGAGAAAACCGAATTTGTTTTAAATTTTAAAGCCCTTTACTATTTCTGTACTTTTTACATCCAAAAATGTCATCGCCTGCCCGGCTACGACGAAGTTGTTTAAACTAATGTG